GATGCTTTTCTTCACTATTCATGAGGATGGCCTGAAGTGTTTGTTAAAATCTGGTCCTAAAATGGAACCATGGAGCAGTGCATTTTCCAGTTGAAGCGTTTTCTTAACATAAGCCAGGTAGTGATTGTGCTCAGCCACATCTTGGCTTAGTAAGAGCTGTAAAAGAAGTGTCACTCTGACTCAGGATCATGCAGCTTCACTGCAGTTGCAGCTGATACTGAGATAATGGGTAGTCCTGTTAGAGCATGTCAGCAGTGCTATGTGAAATCCCCAGGTGAAATCTTCTGAGAGGCCAGTGTAATGCATTCCTGCAGGTCTGGAAACAGGGCTACTGACACAGTTGAGTGGGAACCAGAGGTCAGCCATGACCTTCTGTTAGGTTAGGCCAATGCAAGAGTGAAGTGCCTTTTAGGCTGTAGGTCCTATATACTTAAGAAGATTCATCAAGTCTTTTGCATCTTCATAAGATTGTTGTGGTTGTTCTCCACTCATTTTCTCTAGAAGCCACATCTGGTTCTCACACCTTCCCACACTACTGTGCCATGCCTTCTCTCCTAGATGTGTTATGGGATCATGCCAGTGGCAATGACCATTTGATCTCTCAGCTGCTCACCAGAAAAGACCTATCAAGAGCTCCTAGAATAAGTGTCTACAGAGGCTGCAGTAGTGCTCTACAGTTGTGAGGAGGCTATCCAAAGGGGTGCTGTGCTGTCAGGGGTGATTGTCCAACTGCTGCCTAGTTCTGCTGGTATTCCTCTGTCCTTTGTTTTTGTGCCCATTTTTCCATGAGGGAGCATGAAGGCACAAAATAGGTGGAGATGGATGAAATAGTGCTTGTTTTTTCACTTCATATGTCCATTTTTCTGGCATACAACTCCTCTGAAACACTTCTGATTTGATGCATGAGAGGGTAATAAAATAAAAAGTTTATCATTAGCCTGTAACCTGCAGGTAATATTTGCCCACAGATACTGTGACAAGGTAGATGCTGATGAAAGTCAGTGACTTGGCTCTACACTCAGCAATGCAGCTGCTCATGCACTTGGAAACCAGAGTCTTCCACCTCTCTAAGTTTTACAAGTGCTTTTGACCCTTAAAATCTATTTTAATAATTACTTTAGAGGCAGATTTAAAAATGCAAATAACTGAAAAAAAAAATTAAGTACGTATAATTTGACTCCCAGCAGCAGAAAGTATTATGGGAAGATCTAATCCATCTATGAATGTGTAAACAAGCTGATAAATTTAATTTCATTTCTTAGATTTAAATATATATTTCAGATTCATGTTCATCTCTTTAGTTTTTGTTCAATTAAAAAAATAAAAATAATATGGTGTTTTAAACAGGTTGTGGTCAACTTGGAAATTAATGAGAATGATGAATCTGAAAATCCATTTTGTCTAGGATGTTAGTCCACAGAGTAAAATGAAATATCAACAGCTAGTGCCCTACAAGTAATGGATTTGTTCACTGTCTAGATCAAAAACTTTTAAAAAGTTTTGCGTATAACAGTAGAAAACAATATTAAAGTTTTGGTATGAAATAAAAATAGTCAGTGCTTTGGATCTTCCTGCTAGAAAGTTTTCCCCTAAGATCTTCTGAGCTACAGTTCTTTGGCTGTGGTTCAAGCCTCTTT